TGTGTAACATGCACATGTATGTGTGCATGCATCCAGGTGTGTGATGTATGCATGTGTGAATACATGTGTGTGTGACATATGCATACGTGTGTATATGCCCTATAGCATATGCATATGTGTGTATGCACCCATCTATGTAACATGCACATGCATGAGTGTATATGCCCATGCATGTAGTGTATGCATGTGTGTATACGCCCATGTGTATAACATACACATGCATGTGTGTGCCCTTGTGTGTAGCATATGCATACATGTGCATATGCCCTTGTGTGTGATGTGTGCTTACATGTGTATGGCCACTTGTGCAACAAATGTACACGTTTGTGCCCATATGTGTAACATGTGTGTGCATGTGTGTATGCCCTAGTGTGTAACATGTGCATACATGTGTGTGACCTAGTGTGTGACATGTGCATACATGTGACATGTGTGTATGTGTATGCACACGTGTAACATATGCATGCATTTGTGTATATGCCCAAGTGTGTGACATGTGCATACATGTGTGTGACATGGGCGTGTATGTGTATATGCACATGTGTAACGTATGCATGCATTTGTGTATATGCCCGAGTGTGTGACATGTGCACACATGTGTGTGACATGGGCGTGTATGTGTATATGCACATGTGTAACGTATGCATGCATTTGTGTATATGCCCAAGTGTGTGACATGTGCACACATGTGTGCACCTTATGCATGCATTGTGTATATGCCCATATAACATATGCATGTGTAGGAGTCCACGTGTGGACATGCATCCATGTGTGTGCATCTGTGTGTAACATATACATGCATGTGTGTGCCCGTGTGTGTGTGTGTAACATGCACATATATGCAGGAAAAGAAAATGTGAACAGGAAAAGGTACTGCAGAAAGCTGATGGGAAACAAAATACTGAATGAATCCTGGTGCAACAAATTGTTGAAATCTGTGCATTGTTTTTTCATACTTTGCGTTTTCCATGAACTTTCTGAAGACACTTCATAAATGGAGAAATATGGTGAGATGTTTCTGGTTTTAGTTTTTGGTTGGTGCATAATGATGGTACATATGTAGGGGTACAGTGTGACAAGATCAGATCCGGGTAATTAGCACACCCGTTATTTCTCGGCAGTAACACTCAAACTCCCTTCTTCCAGCTATTCCGAAATGCACAAAACAACACATCACTGATGACCACATCCCCTGCCGACGTCAGAACACCAGGCCCCACTCCTCTCTCACTGTGACACCGGACTGTGCCCCCCGCCCCACACACACACACAGGTGCCCCCTCCCTGTTTTTAAAGCTCATCCCTCATCCCGCCCACACCAAGCACTGGTGTGCCTGGGCTCAGCCAGCCCGGGACCCTGCACACACCTTGCTCCGGGGGTTTGACGTGTTCATCACGCTGCGAAGCTCCCGGCCGGTGTAGAGGACCACGCCCACCACGGTGCCTGAAACCATAACACACAAGCCAGAGAGATGCCAGCAGTCAGGTGGCTTGACAGACAGCTGGAGAGAGCGTGTCCGACATCCGGCAGCCACGCCCTGGGAATGCCCCAACTGCTGCACCAGCCACTGGGGACCGGACCAGCACGACAGCCACCAGCCATTTGGGTCGGCTTGCGTTTCAGTTCAGGGGAAGTTGAGTAGAACGACTCCCCACCCCCAGGCACTGGGATCATTCACCCCGGCTGCCTCAGGGGCCAGGGCGCTCCTTACTGCAGAGGGGCCGCAGGTTGGTGGCTGGGGGCCCAGAAGCTTCTAATGGCAGGAGAGATGGGGGAGGGCTTGTCCACCCTGTGTGCAC